GGGAGAACTTAACTAATAGCTCAGAGTTGTTCAAATCTTATCTAGCTCTGATTTAAAGGAACCCAGGGTTTTAGCTTACACTACACTAACAGGAAGACTACTCCATACTATACTCTACATAAGACCTATGTTGCACCCTGTCCAAGGCAGCAATGTCCTTCTTAAGGTATGGTGACCAAACCTGCACACAATATTCTAGGTGGGGTCTTACCGAGGAATTATATAATTGTAACATCACCTCCCTTGACTTAAACTCCACACACCTAGAGATGTAACCCAACATCCTATTGGCCTTTTTAATTGCTTCCCCACACTGGAAAGAGTGTGACATGGAAGCATCAATATACACACTGAGGTCTTTCTCGTAATTAGCTTCCTTTTATTCAGTGGAACCCATAAAATATCTGTACTTTATATTTCTATGTATTGGTGTCAATATCATTAACGTAAATTAGGAACAATAGTGATCCTAAAATTGAACCCTGCGGTACCCCACTATGAACGCAGGCCCACTGTGACATTGTGCCTCTAATAACTACTTGCTGCTTCCTGTCAGTTAACCAGTTTTCGATCCAAGCTGCTACAGTTCCTAAAATCCCTGCAGCTTTGAGCTTAAGCAANCGGTACCCCACTATGAACGCAGGCCCACTGTGACATTGTGCCTCTAATAACTACTTGCTGCTTCCTGTCAGTTAACCAGTTTTCGATCCAAGCTGCTACAGTTCCTAAAATCCCTGCAGCTTTGAGCTTAAGCAAGAGCCATTTGTGGGGGACAACATCAAAGGCCTTCTGGAAATCTAAGTAGACCACATCATAGGCCTTTTTGTGATGAACTACTCTTGTAGCTTCCTCAAAGAACTCAAGTAGATTAGTAAAACAGGATCTACCTCTCCTAAATCCATGTTGGCTGTCCCTCAGAATTTTATTTGAATCCAGGTAATCTACCATTTTCACTTGGATTATAGCTTCCATTACTTTTCCATTACTTTACTTGATACCCACTGAACTAAATGCCAAAAACTTGTAGTAAAGAATAGCAAGAGTGATGTAATGTAAGCAATATTACACGGTATTACCCAGAACAACTGTAAATGTGGATGGAGCCTGTCAGACAAGACTGCATATTCGACTGTTCGGTAAAAGTCAGTAACACTTTATTTAAGGCCATGTTTTTAGTAATAAACACATTCATAACAAATAATAATTCATTCATAAAGCATTATAAACATGGCTATAAATATTTATGAAAAGACATAACACATTATAGCTGGGTGTATTATTCATTATGAATGCTTTATGAATCTCATCTATAATGCACTGTAGATACCTTTATAATGCATTATAATGGTCGGTATAAGCGTTAAGGATGCTTTGTACTCCATTATAAAGGTATCTATGGTGCATTATAAGTGAGAGCATTCATAATGCATAATACACATGGCCATAATGTGTTATGCATTTTAATAAATATTGATAGTCATGTTTATAATACTTTATGAATGCATTATAATGCATTACAAATGTGTTTATACATTTCTAAAAACATGGCCCGAAGTACCAGAAGTGTTACCCCCCGCCTTATTTTTGGGACTATGGGACCCATGTTCAAGGTTTATAAAAAAAAAAATCTTTACAGTTTTTTCTTTTTAAAATAAATTTCTATTTTTTGTATTTTGTTGTTGCTGAGATATTTGTTCTTGGCTCACCACACCTGCAACAGTACAAAAGTGGCAAAAATGTGAACGCAATATCTCCTTAGTTGATCTGACTTCATTGTTTACAGTGTCATCAAGAGATAAAGAACCGTACAGGACCTCATTCACAGTAGGAACATATGACTGAGTGCAGCCAGGACATGTGACAGAGCACAGCCAATGAAACTAGCTGGGGGGTGTGGCACAATAAACAAAGAAAGCTCACAAAGTCAGGTCTGTACATCAACCCAAAGTCTGCAGTAAACATCTTCACTTTCATTGCCACTTTTCCAGCTTGTCATTCTCTGTTAAAAGAGCCTCTTTTCCTGAAGACAGCAGGTGTAATATCCCCGGTTTCCACTGAGCCTTGCAGCATCAATGAATTTAATATTAATTTCTAATAAATGGCACAACATGCATCAATTCAGTGTTTTATAGCACGGTGTGTTATTGGCTTATTTTAATTTTCTTCATGATGTGCATGCAGAGTATTTGCGATAAAGGTGAGATGAGTAAGATAGAAACGGAAAAAGCAGCACTACAGGAAGCAAAAAATCAAGTCATGTGATTGGTGCAGTGATCAGTCATGTGATTGGTGCAGTGATCAGTCATGTGATTGACAGAATGGCTGCAGAGAAAGCCAGAGCATCAGCGATCTGTTACATAAGTGATCTCTTATTGAATGAACATGCTATTGTGTTCTCTGGCTTGCTCACACATAATTTGCCTCACAGCCTAGTAACAAGATTTCTCGTGAGATAAGACATGCTATTTGCCTTTTTTAAACCACAAACAGCATTTATTTCCTTGATGTTTATGTGTGCAGCTCTGCAGACTGGACAGGAGTCGAGGATGTGCTCACGTAAGACTGGGATAGGAGTTTCTGTAGTCCAAATAGCAGGAAGTGCAGCCACTGCATGGAAAGAAAAACAGCCAATAATCCTTCTGTCTAGAGGTGGAAAGTTCAGGTCCAGAGAGTAATAATCCAGACCAAGATTTTGTTTCAACCAACCAGTTAAGGATAAAGAGTCACAGTCACAGAGTGCTCAACTGGGTAGTTGAAACAAAATCGTTGTCTGGATTTTTATTTTATGGACTTGAATTATCCAGCCATATATTTTCATATGAGTCTGCTCAATTGTTCATTTTTTGTTGCAGTAGCAATAAGAGAGTTCAATTAGTGCCAGTAAATTCTCAAATAATTGAGTTAATAAAGTATTTGTTGGTCTGTAACCACCTTCCTATCTATAGAGACTCCTCTGTATGCCACATGGATTTGAATCAAAGTCTAACTACAAATAATTAAGATGTCACTTAAACCCCATTGAAAGGAGTGACTTCTGTCTTGTCTTTAACCACATCCAGTTTGCAATGTGCATCTCCTCTCTTCATTGTGTGTGACAAAGGGAAGCACATTCCCCGTCTTCCTATCTGCTAAACTGCCTGCTCTATATTTAACCACAGTTATTGCGACATGAGCTATTTATAAACTGACGCTAATCTGTGGAATCTGTGCGGGACGTGACATTCATTAATTTCTCAGGCAGAAGTGTCCTAAATCTGTTTTAGCATCTGTCGCTAATGTTCATTTCGGGGAACCTGTCCGCACAAAAAGTGCCAAATAAATCAGTTGCTCGTTTAAACTTTAGTTTAAAGCCTGAGCACTTCATGTTTAACATTTCATAGCTGGAAATTTGAAACAAGCTGTCATTCTTTTCCTGAAGCTAACAGATTCTAAAGATAATTAATACCGGTTTGTGCTAATATCCCAGGCTACAGTTCAGGTAAATATAGCTTGTGTCATGCAAATAATCGTAGTTATATTTAGAAAATGAAGGAAGTCCTTTGTCTTTTGCTATGCACAAGCAGGTAAGACCCTGTTCCGCCTTTGTTCCACCTGAGGCGGGATTTTGTGCTTTGTCACCAGTTAAGCTTAAGTAACACACACTCTTGTTCTCCTGAACACGGCAACCAATCAGATTTGAAAGAGAAATGCACAGGACCGCCTATGAAGTACCAATAATACAAGAGTACATAAATGGCCTAAGGAAGCAGGCTTAATTCTCACTAGAAAAGGCACAAAATATGCAGACGCCTCTCGATTTGGTGCAGGTGCACAGATCAGCAAGGATGGACACACGGTGTGCATACCGTGAAAAGGTCGTGTCGGAATCTCGCAATGAGAATAAGTAAGTTGAAATATTTGATCATTCGTTAATGATCGTACTTTTTTTTCCATGTCATGCCACAGTAGTGTGGCTGGAGAGGAAGTTTAATTTTGAGTGCTGTTGCTATAATGAGCTGTGTTCTTAACAGACACAGCATACTGACACATGACATTTTCAAATATCTAGACCAAAAACCTGGAGGTCCAGACTGCACTTCTTTTTGCGGAATTATTCTGAGGCAAAGACAGTTTCCCGATCTTACAGGTACATACAATCTTGTTAAAAATTTTAAAACAAGCGTATTTAAACCAAGCTTGCCCCTTTATGCATTGCCAAGCCTCTATCGTCTACCAGTTGTATGTTTTTTGTGTTTAGCATGCTAGAAATCAAATAATTGTCGGTCTTGTTTTGTTGCAGGCCAACTGTTGAAGAAGTAAATCAGTGGTCTTTGTCACTCGAAAATTTGCTTTCTCATAATTGTGAGTATGAGTAATTGAAGTGTTGTTCAAGTCTATATAAAAATTATATCTGAAACAATGTCTCAGAGTGAATGTTCAGCCAGGGTTAGGTAGGACTGACAATGGGTTAGATTGTGTCAATGAAAAGGTCTACAAAGATACTATACTCAAAGATGACCAAATTTTCTGTTCGGGATCTTACAGATGGACTAGCAGCATTTCGGATCTTCTTGAAGTCAGAGTTCTGTGAGGAGAACCTTGAATTCTGGCTTGCGTGTGAAGAGTTTAGAAGGGCACAGTACCCTTCCAGACTTGCCTCCAGAGCTAGAAAAATCTATGAAGAATTCATTAAGGCCGAGTCTCCAAAAGAGGTACATTTCTGCTTTACTGCCTCCCGCATGATCCACACCAAAAGCATTTATACAGAACTTATTAGAGGAAGAATCCTGATAGACGTATATCTGTTTTCTTATCAACATGATTAATTTTTCCTCCGTTTCATTCTTCGTGAATCGGTTACCATCATTTTATTATTTGACTCTAATATTGCTTATCATTGTGTAGATCATATGCTCTCGCTGGGCAACTATTTTATATCCACGTATCTGCCAGTCATCTCCTTTCCAGATGAGAGACTTTATTAAAAGAAATTTTAAAGACTGCTGTATGGGTTACTTGAAGCTCAGCTGGTTAGCTGTGATCTTGTTTTATGTGAAGGTATTATATCATGGTTAAAAGTGATTAATGAAATGATATATAAATGATATGATCAGGCCTCCCAAGTCTCATGCATTGACCGTGAGACAAACGCATGTAATGCAGCTCACACGCCACACCTTGTGTTACTCACGTTGAGACGTGAGGGTTGAGCCCACAAAGGAGTCCTGTTATATAGAATTATTGGACAATGCGCAGGCATACAGAGTGGAGTTTTCCACCGAGTTCATAACTGTCCCAAAATAGCATTTATTGCATATTGCATTATTGCAAATTATTACATGGATGCGCACACATACGGTGGAAGCGGTACAGCAAGATCTGATCAATGCAGTAGGCAAGGCTCTGTCATGCATTGACCATGAGACACACACTGTGCCCCTAACAGATGTAATCTCACTCTAAACTTTTGATGAAACTTCACAGCCCTGTTTATGACTCTATCATCCCATATTTATATACTACATCATACATGGTTGCAATGATTCCTACGGCATCTCTACAGATGCATTAATTCTCATTAATTCTAACATTCTTGTGCTTGACCACAGATCAACGTGGATTTTCACACTAAGGACGCGATTGCTAGGAGTCTTAATGCACCAACCCCCACCTGTTTCCTCAAAGCACAGAGGAAAGTCTTCAGTCTGATGGAAAACAGCTCATACCCTCGGTTCAAAGAGTCCGAGATCTACAAGGAACTGTGCGAACTGGCAAGGAGAAAGGCCTAAGCGCCCAGCTGCCTGGGCTGTGACTTATGTACTCTACATTACACTGAGAAAGGACTCTATATATGGTGATTCTCGTGATGTGAATCGTGTTTATGCAAGGTGTCGTTGGCCAAATGCAGGACATATTGGTTGTTAACAGTCACCTGGCTAAGGCACAATCTTAGTTATATCTCTAGTAGTAGTTCCACTGAATATCAGATTAACTACAGCCATGTTTTCTAAGTACTTTCAGGGAAATTAAAAATATGATTCCTAAATACTTCATTGCAAAAAATGACAAATAGCTATTTAACTATGCAAAAGGTACAATGAAACAGATAAGGCATTGATAAAGTTCATGAAGGATGCACAATCTAATTGTCATTGCAGGTACTAAACTGGGGATGCTTTGAATTCATATTATTCACATGTCACATTTCACATCTGGAATCACTGAATGGTAACGGTTCTACCTAATTAATAGGAGTCAGAGCTGTGCTACATTTACAACAATGTCGCTCACATAATGCTAAGGTGGTTCGGGCCTCACACTTACCACTCAAAAAGCATAACTCTATAAACCAATGAAATCCTGCATGCCATTAATCCAATTGACCAATGGCAGTTGTTGTAGGCGGGCTCAAGAGAAACCAACCCAAACTGTCTACCCAGCTGAGGAGGAGTTCTATCAAATGAGATGCATATATACCTTAAATGGACTTTGGCAAATATGACAATAGTGTAGCGGTCATTCGCTTCCCATGCAATAGGTCTCTGGTAACTTTATAGTGGGTTGGTACCTCATCCTAGGTCATTGCTTCCAGGATAGACGTGTGACCCCCGTAACCCTGCACAGGACAAGCAGATATGAAAAATGGATAGATGGATGAATGAACAATTATACAGTTGTAATGTCTTAATCAGACGAGTTTACAGATGTTGAATTTATTTGCAGCTGGACTGCAGTTATTTTTTTATGCTTTTTATTTTTTGTAAGGCTAATGCAGGCAGGGCCTCCCCCCGGACCCAAAAAATGGATCGTACTACATAGGAGGGGCGGACTGAGCCCGACCCAAGTGCCTCAGCCATATTCTGAAAAAATTAAAAATGTGAACGTGTGAATATGTCTGTTTGAAATAAATATACAGTATTTATTTGTTTCAGTTGTGCAATATTTTTATTGCTAAAGTGGATGCTTAAAACAATGTTTAACTTTGTGTGTGTGCGTGTGTCTGCGAAACAAATTACTGACTTATGGTGGATTAACTGTAGTAGTACACTCCTAATGTATTAACCAGAAACTAATTAACTAATCATTAATCAATCATAATGGTTCATGTAATTCAAGATTATCCTTTATAAGGTTATCATTATTTCTAATCAACTACCAACATTTATTGAACTGATACTTGTATATATTGAAACTTATCCAAGTTTAACACTTAACATCTTCTACAGTGGTCATGACTTATACTGAAACTTCGGAAGGTCCCCTTGGCAGCACAAGAAGGAAACACTTTGAATCTTCTCAAGGAAAGCTTGTCTTCAGTGGAAAAGCTGCTGAGCAAACTGAATGGTTAGAAACCCCAAAATAATCGTAGCCGAGTGTGTTCGTACATGTCGATTGTACTGATGAGCACAGCGTTTCAGGGTAGCAATGAAATACAATTTCAGGGTTTTTCTTTAATGAAACAGGAAATGTAAACTAACACATTGTCTATACAAACACCACCAGTCATAAAGTTTTTGCGCGACATACGATTTTACCACTTTTCCATTAATACATAAGCTACAGATTTTTTATTCTTGTTAAGCATTGGAAAGTTGTTCAGTGAACACCTATAAATATCAAAATATAAGTCAAATAAAAAGGTTTCCTTTACAACATGGAACAAGTATGTAATAGTATATGTCTGACATCCCGTTAAGTGGTTGTGTGGTGATGGCAGAGTCAAATTAGTATAATAGTATAAAATAGTCCCTTATAGAAAGAACGCCTCAAATTTTCTTTGCTGTTATACAGTAACTGCTAGAGGAGGTTACTTTGATGAATCAAAGACGTGACATTTTCTTGCTAATAAAAGTACTCAAAAGGTGAACATACTGTAAATTAATCTGTTAGAGAAGAATATTGAGTAACATGCAAATGTAGAAAATCTGTGCGCACAAAACTTTATTGGTGGTATATATATGCACACGCACTCATAGGCAAATATGACCACAGAAGGAGGCGCCTGACATTGGTCGCGAGCAGCTCAGGCTGGTTTACATCGGTCAGCGTAGGTTTGCTGTGTTTGCCGAGATGGGGAACTCCACCGCAGGCCGAGCCGACGACACTGTGCTGATCACACCAGCAAGCAGAGACAGGAACCCACACGGTGGATAAGAAGAATTACATAAAACCAGTTTATGGACGACTTCCTACAGTGAGCATCACTGTCCTCAACTTCCTGTCGTTTCCTATACTTTATTTAAGAAACGCTTTTATCCAAAGTGACATACAAGTACGGTAAATAGTACATTACAAACATGTGGCTGTCGAGGGGTCGACTAGGCAGAAATGCAGCTAGGCTGAGCTTCCAGTGAATGTTCAGTTGTAAGTATAAGCAACACTGGAGCAAGAGATTGCCAGTGAATATTTCCACTGAACACAGTCTATGCTGCTATTTCCTCTTCAGGAACCCTAAAGAAAGATGACAGCATAAAGGTCTCCAGTCTTCTGGAGAACACATCAGCTGACGAACGCTGTACTCAGGAAAAAGACATTGTGCGGATCTTGCACAGTCTGCTATTAAGACCACATGATGATGCAAACAAGGGAAACCCGGGTCCGGGTGTATGGATGTGCATGACACTGATTATGTCTGAAAATGCATCGTTTTTCAGTCGGAATTCCCCTTTCGCATTTGGTGTGGTTCACTTCAGCTTCTGCAACCACTTTTAGGACATGACTGCATTTTGCTGTGTGAACTTTCTTTTCACAGTGCCTTCAGATTTCAGTCATATCTCTATTCTCCCCACTCATGGTCACAGCAGGAAAAACAGCTAGCTGTAACTTACTCTATGACAAAAATTCACCTTCAAAAATTATCATTATTAAACATGCATACCTAGGTTGTTATTTAGAACAACTTAATAAATGAACAAAAAAAATTAAACTAATGCCTAGATGTCTAACATTAGCTAACTCCGAAACATGAGAAAATGTAATTCAGATAAAGACTAATCAATCGGGGCTTGCTAAAATTCTTGTTGTGAAAATAAATCCTTCACAGCTTGTTTCAATGTTTAGTGACATTGATGTGGTTTCACAGAAACACCTGAGTCGGTATAAAGGCGAAAATAAAAAGTTTTCTGTAAGGATGCCACACTGTAGTAAAGAGGAAGTGATATCAGCATTATTCAAGCAGACTGCTTCACCATTTCAGGCCAGATGGCAAGTCATCAACACCAGTGTTTCCCAACGCAGACCTTGGGGACCCCCACACAGTCCCCATTTTCACTCCCTCCCAGCTCCCTGCTGGGTTGGAAAACACTGATCTAGAGTTCAATCCACGGGTTATTCAATCCACGGTCCTCGAGGTCCGAGCACTGCTGGTTTTCCAGCCTTCCTTTACCTGTCAGTCAGGTGTGAAGTCTCTGACCAATCAGAATCAGTAATTATTAAACTAACTTCCTGGGACAACTGAAAACAAGGCCTGGATTTGGAATCGAGGTCCAAATTTGAAGAACCCTGATCTAGACTAATGACATACATCTGTGTTTTAGCAACACAGATTTAAGATTCAGAAATGCACCCTACTGCTGAGGACAACTGCTTGGAATATGGGAGGTCAATTTATTATTAATGATCATAACAACATGTCAATCTCATGCAGGGGTCTTCAACTCCGGTCCTGGAGAGCTACTCTCCAGTAGGTTTTCTGTCCCACTTGGCTTCTGATGAGCCAGACCTGTTCCTGGTATTTACCTGAGAACTAGTGTGGTTCATCAGAAGCCAGGTAGGATAGAAAACCTACTAGATAGTAGCTCTCCAGGACCAGAGTTGGAGACCCCTGGTCTCATGTATGACATCAGAAAGGGTACTTAAGGAAAAAAATAAATAAATAAGTGACTGGCCATAATGAATATCAAAAACTAAATTGAACAAATGTGCAGTGTTTGACGTCACAGGTGCACAATGCCACTCCCACTGGTATGTTGGGAGATTATCTGAATACATTCCAGTTGAAATATACATGCTTGTGAAACCACTCTAACCGGGCATATAGGAATGCAACTGACCACTGGTACATTTCGTACGTGACATACATGAATCAGATTTCGGCATGCTCATGCGGGAGTGCCATGCAAAGCCTTCACTATAACCATTGGCCACGCCCCTTCCTACACATGCCCTCCCTGATCTACTAGGCAGAGAATTCATCTAAAGCACAGGTGCAAAAGTCTAGCCACTGACGTGGCTGTTAAGCTAACTACCGTAAATTTTACCGCAAGGGGTGAATTTGTGAAGACATGCAGGCAAGAAGCATCAGCCTTTTGCCACCATAACGCTGACAAGAAATGCAGGATTTCATATCTTACATGTCTTCCTTATTCATCAACACTTGGTGAATAACTATGGCGACAAACTGAACCGGAAAGGCAGCTTCTGGAAGTGTCACACTTTGTCACAGAAACTATTAATGACATAAAAGTATATTCTTAACCCATAAAACTACACACTGCCCCAATAAGAAGATTATTATATAAAGTGAATGAAGATATATATATATATATATATATATATATATATATATATATATATATATATATATATATATATATATATATATATAAACAATAAAGTAAAAAATTGTTTGAATCACACAAAGGTGTACTGTAAAACTTCCTTATTACAATATTATATTAACAGACATGGATAGCTGCTGACTACATGAGTCAGCTTATCGATGGAATGCTGGAAATGCACGTCAGAGCAGATCATGTTTCAATACCATATTCATTCGCCCAAAGTGGCGCACAAGGTACGTCTTGACCGTGAAGTCACCCAATGACAACACCAAAGATGTTCATCTATCAAACAGATAAAGACCTGTTTGTTACCAAATAAAGAAAAAGGATAAACAAATTGGTACAGGACACACGACTTGGGATCATGTAAAAGCACTCACTCACTATTCATACTTTCCACAGGAAGTGCTTCTTCTAAGCAATGGTCCAGTACAGAAACCGGCCGAGAGTGTCAGGTTACCTTTCCTTGCTGGGCACTCAAAGTACCGAAACCCGATACCACGCAGCATCATGCATTCAAATGTTAGACAAAACAGGCACAAGACGTGTTCGTTATGGCTGGCAGCCAATAACCTTTATTGTTTCTTTTAACTGCTATAGGTAATGCTGCAGAGTTTTTGTGTCCTCGGGTATCAATATAATGAACACAAAACTTACAATTTCCTTTTCAATATAAAGCAGTATTGTAACTTGGTTCACTAGAACTTTTGGTGCATTTAAAACATTCAAAAATGAAAAGAAAAAAAAAAAAAAAAAAAAGACAGAATGTTGTTTTAGCTTTCACTGGTGCCTGACGGTAAATCTTAACTGAGTAAATACTGTCCCAGTTTTTCTGTCAATGTGTAACTTTAACAGAGACAGAAGAGCCACCCTTTACCTGGAGAACTTCCCTGATTCAACAAGATGTTTTTTTTCCAATTTATTTTCCAGGATGAGTTAAGACCCTAAAATTCATGTAACTGCATTAGCAATAGCTTGTTAGCAGGCATGGGTGGTAATTACGGTAATATGGTAAGAAGCTGTATTTCACCATTTACCAGAAATTATTGTGGAGACCCCAGCAACTATCGTCGTTTTCGACACTGTACACTGCGGGACAATACCTTAGCAGGTATGACAGTATGATACATTGGATACCGCCAAAGCTTAATCATTAGTTTATATAACAGATCTATAATCGCATTAACAGATTTGCTCAGTTTTACATAGTTTCCATAAAGACAGGAGTGATGGGCAGTTTACAAAAAAAAAAAAACTGTGACAACAAAAGAAGTGAATACTGGAGTTATTTAAGGGACAGGAGATCAATGCCCTAGAGTTCTGGAACTACTAATGGTCATTAAGAGTGAAAATGACACACTTAAAAGCATATGGCATACAGTGATGGTGGGGGGGGGACTGAGGGAGGTGTTGCCTCTGGTAGAGAGGGAGGCACATGACATCCCATTTTATATATGTACAGGATTTGGAATACAATCGGATCTGAAACAGAAGCAATATTAGATATTCTGAAGCGTGTGAGAATTAAGTATAATCAAATATAATTTAAAGTGACTAGATTTCAAGAGCTTCATGGACCCATTGCAATCTGACAGGCCGTTGGAGGATTTTGGAAATGGGATCAATACAATTCATACCATGCCCCATTAAATCTAATTTTTTGTGGTTAAACGGGTAAAATGCATGTTTCTGCTGGAGCATAATTACACCTACAAAGCCGCAAGGACACCTATGAATGTTTACCTTGGAAGGTCACCCTAAAACACAAGCGCTATGACAGACTCCCCTTCGCACACGTCAAACAGCAACCCGCTGAAAAATCCCATGGCTCAGAGCCACCCAGCTGAGCTCACTTCCTTGCTGATCATCGTGAGATGAGCACACTTGCATCAGCAGCCCTCGGACCGGCCATCAATGACAGGAAGAGAGATAGGGCTTTGCGCTCAGCCTAGATTATCAGCGGGGGCTGTGCGTCGCTTACAGACACTTGCATACGTATGCGTCACTGATGCAATGCAGCTGACTCACTGCTGGCAGAAGCAGGAGTGTCACTGTACCTTCTTGTGGTGGCACATTGGGCGTATGAATGCCCTCCTTTACAAAAGGTCAGCTCTTTCAGCTTTATTTAATAAGGAACCAAAGAAAAAAAAATATTTTAAAAAGTATCCGTCCCAATTACAAGTACATGGTTATAGAAAAACATCACTGCTACAGAACTCGCATCTTATGGGGAGATTAAGCTGAAACTAAATAATTACGTTAGATGTGGAACTTCTTCCCAAAAGCTACTGCTTATTCATTCATACCCCTTCAAGTCCAGGTAGACAAGTGTCAGTACAAACAAGTTCAGCACCATCTGCTTTTATTCTGCAAGACAGTAACTTGAGGCAAAGGATCTTTCTTTTATCATAAGATGACTTTTATTTACCCATTTATGGACTTAATGCCATGAGGGAGACGACTAACAAGACAGGCACTACCTATCAGTGCGATACACAGTGACTCGCGTGGCCATATTTGGAAAAACAGCTCCACCTATTGACACTTTAAATACTAAATCAACAGCATCCAAATAAAAAAAAAAAACATCAGTAACAAAATTCCAATGTGTTTAAGATGCTGCCACTACAATTCAAATAAACAAATTTGACAAGTCAATCATTTACAACTTTTACAAAAAAAAGGGGGGGAATGGAGGAGAAATGTTCATTTATTTCAAGCTTGAATTTTTAACGTGATTCAACAGATTTAGACTTAATTAGCAAATCTGTGACAGGAGAACAGATGGTCTACTCCAACACTTCACTGCATGCATGGATTTTCAGACGCTGGACTGGACAGCTTAAGTCACCTGTGGTTTCTGTGCACGCTTTGTGACGCTACGATGAGCCACGGTACAAAGCCTCAGCACCATCATTTGGCCTCCTGGACATTTTTAGCATTTTGCTTTTCTTTTGCCTAGAAGGGGAGTGAACACACAATGAAGCATTAATTACACAGTGGGAAAGATTAGCTTGTGCACATTATCACTATTGTTAGGACCAACAACAGCTTTAGCAATTCTTATACTCAAACAAAACAAATATATGGTTCTTGTATACCACATATCCTGGCATATAACAAGACTGTTACACGATTGTCAAAGTAAAATCCTTATTGGCCAATTCTCTAACTGGCATTTGCTATTGGATAAATTAACGGCGTCTAAAACTAAGCAATGGTTAATTAGATCCCTTTGAAAGAAACAGCTACAGATACGTTTCAACGATCCAACAGTTCCATCCAGTGGCAAAGTCACTTACTGCATCATGCAATCGGAGAATTTCTTGCTGTTCATCCACTGTCAACTTACTACAAACAGCACATTCCGTTAAATGAATGAATGAATGAAACATGGGGAATCTGAACTTTAAATAAGACTCTTATGATCTTACTGATGATGTTCAAAGCATAGTAAGATGCCACATTCCGGACTGACTACCATCAACTATCCATTTCTGTTTCTCCATAAATATTAGGGCATTTTCTGAGGGTCATTCAAACTGCGACAAAAGATGGTGGCAATATGAAATCAACACAAATTTTGCTGGACTTCCCCCATTAATAATTATGTTTGGGGTTGACTAACAGTCGCAATATTAACGTTAAAATTTAAGGTATTCAGCTGTTTTTGGATACAGTTAGATAAGCAATTCAACTTAAAAGCGAAATGAATCCCACCTTTTCCACCAATGGTATCAACTGCTGGTACTCAGCTAATGTCTTGAGCAGTTCCATGATGAATGGTAGGTAATTGTGCTTTCGCCGGATGTTTTCCATCTAAAAACGCAAGTTTTAAATGTGAGCGGTGAGAGTTGAGGGTGCATGGACATTAAACCAAACATGTTTAGCAAATTTACTTTATATCGCTGCAGCTTCTGATTCTCTTCTTCTATGAGGAGTTGATATTTCGCAATTTCTGACTGAATGGAGCAAAGTAGATTGTTACTTTGATCGGTATCCATTGGCTCCTCCTGGGAGGAAAAATAAAAATAAAAAAATCGGACAGGTGGCAGCGGCCAGCCAACACCACATTAGGCAAATTTTAGACATTTTGTTCAAAGTCACTCCGTAAGATACATCATTTCATTTTAGGAGAATTTTTTTACACTTCAAAACTAAAAAGGTGATATTCTAAAATGTCAGAATACACGTAAAAATGCACAAAAGATAAATGCATAATACAGAAGGGAAGAACAGGAAGAACAAATATCACAACAGGTCACTTCCATAATCCTGCAGGAGCTTGATACCTCAGCAAGCCGACTCTGCAGTTCGGTAATCTTTCGGTTATAAATCATCTTTCGGTCTGACACTATGGCCATCAGGTTAAACCGTATCTCCCCTTCACTGTACCTGGAAAGCAGGCAATTATAAGCATAACCCACAGACAATACGCATATGCATGTAAAATTATGGGATGTTTATTTAGAAAGCGACCATTGCATTTACTTGAGAATTCTTTTCTCAATAACGGGCCTGACTGCGCTGATCCACTCGTCTTGGTTACAAACCCCTGAAAACAAGAAACCAGACAGAAAAAGTCAACAGCAATGTTAGCTCAGATTCCATGCCAACTGTATGCGTCCGGCAGCTGTACGTTTAACGCGAAAGACAGGTGTGGCGGCTTACCAAGGTCAATCGGGCCCTCGCGGAGCCCGTCCAGCTCGTAAAGCCTGCCTTTGACTGGAACGTAACTCACGAAGTGGAACGCATCTTCATCCTTCGCAGATGACTTTGCATCAAACTCAAACATCTGTTGTCTGACAGGAAAACAAAAATCCTGGTGCTCAACACCTCGTTTTGTTCGGGGAGGAAGACAAAATGTGTGGCCCTACACGGATTGCAGATTTTTTCTGAAGTACAGGTGCTCCTCGACTTACAATGGCGTAACATTCCGATGAACCCATCATCATTTGAAAATAGCTCTGCATATCTGACTTGTAATATCACGACTACTCGATTAAACCTGATTAAAAAGGCACCGATTAAAACTTTCCTTCTCAATTACTCGGCAATATGGCAGAAGGGAGACGGCGCATAGTGCATGAAGGTGAAAATAAAGAGCAAAAGCCATCAGTTGTGTGGAAGCACTTCACGTTAAAAGTGAAAGAAGCTCAAGACATTCCCGTTTGCTGTGCCAACATAAAAAGCCAACAATCACCTGCCTTTGCTCAATACTATCTCCATCAAATACAAAATATTTCCATACAGCACAAGACCAATGTCTTTTCATCACCACTTCTAGTTCACCTTTCTCCTCTTCACTCGTTTTAATTTCTCACAAACCAAACGAACGAGAATGATTATGACTCTCGGAGAGTCCATGCAGAGCTCATGCAAAACTTCAGGCTGATTTTTTTTTTTAACACGTACTAGATAATGTTGAAAAAGAACCATGGACAAAACTGCAGAGCTGACCTAGTTTTGTTTTCTGTGAATGGGCAAGATTTATTGATGGTTTGAACCCAGCAGACTATTGTGGTTCCTTGCCATGTGACAACTGCATGTGCATGAAATACCACGTCGATATTAACATCACACATTGTGAAAGCCTAGTGCTGCGGGTGGTACAGAGACGCAGTGGGAGCGCCACCAGTGCACATCGTGTGAGTGGAGTTTGCACGTTCACCATGGCAAGGCTTTCTGGCAGACTCCCCAGTTTCATTCCACCAAGTTATAAAAACTGAGCATTAACAGATCAAAACAAACACTCCCATTCAGCGAATCCTAAAGCGAGTCACCATTAGTGTTGCAAAGGGCCAGAAAATCTCCATTCCATGGGAAGTTAAACTGGGGAATTTTTGGAAATACTCAATGTTGGAAACTTTCCAGGGGAATTAACTGGAATATATGGGAATTCTGCAACCCTAGTCACCATAAACTTTCGAAATGCCTTTTTATTGTCAGTCTTGAATCATCATCAACATTTGGACATCTATATACTAGAAATACATACGAGTGCTTAAGTGCAAGAAAATAAGCAGAGAGAAATAATGTATCAAGTATATTAAGCAGACATTACCTGGCAAAACTATTATGGACTTGTCGTATCACCTCAGAGTTACTCAGTGCCAGACCTTTCATCTAAAGATAAAAATTATAAACAGGCCATAATTAAGACATACAGCCATCATTTCATACAGACACTGATCATATATTGAACATATGAACAATCTGAAGCTCTAGCATCAAAGTAATGGGGCAAACGGCGCTGCCCAAATTGCAGCAGATTTGAGTTTCATTTTAAGTCAAATGTGCAGCTCTCAAAACATCTCACAACCCACATATGTCCCTTAACATGAGAAGTACATTACAAACCATCAAAAGAAACCACACGATAACTTACAGCCGCGTCGAAACTCTGCGAGAATTCCCGGAACTCAGACAGTGTGTCTCCGAGCTGCATGTCTGAGTGAGTGCAGTTCAACAGCACGCTAATAATTGCCTGGGTGGCACACGCATTGTTAATGACCTGCAACATCAAGACAAGAGGAGAGAAAGGATTCAGAAGAGGTCTCTCTTCTGGGTACTCCGGCTGTCTCCAGATGTCCTGACCTTCCACAGGATAAGAGGCAGGAAGACTGATAGGCAGATTAATTGTTTGGGAGATGCATGCTTGATGTACTAGGAGGTGTGTGGAAACAATAACAGCATTAAACCATTAGAGAGTACAAACACAATTGCATAATATGACAGGTATTACTACTCCACAGGCAGCAAGGCACAACCTATTCACACTGCTCTTCTCATGTGATAGAATACCCATTCCTACCCATTCCATGATTACTACCTGTTTGGCAAAGAAAATGTGGTCCAGCCGTGAGTCCTGGACAATGGAGCCGGCGGGCTCCTCTCCTGGCTGCCACTTGAAAAGGAAAATCAGCCCATGAACTGGTCTGCAAAGAAATGAAGTGCTATATAATTACAGTACAATTCCCTACTACCCAAAGGAAAGCTACCTGCTTTAACAAGGTACATGGATCCGTTCCAGTACAACAAAGCACTATCCCAACATTGTGAAGAGACAAACATTTTCTGCAGACCCGAGTTAAATAAGTACACCATTTCATTGTTTTTGACTTACTTCAGTTTTTCAAAGTTTTCCGGTTCCATGCTCCATATCTCTTCGACTTGTGCACCTTTGCATCCTAAAGACAGTACATCAGAGGGCGCTTATAGGAGCTAGTCGACATTAGACTCCCAAAAAGGAAGACAAATCGTTAAATAAAGAGCATGCAGCCAAAGCTACGTGCGTGGCAATTTTCCAGTACCCAACAACTTCTGAAGTAACACTGTAATCACCATTGACAAAATGAATGGATATTAATTACAGATTGAAAGAATTCAATTAATGTACGATGAAGTGGACTCACTTGCCCCTTGATCTTTAATCTGGATGGTGTCATGAAACGATGCATTTATATTTTTTTTTATTGCATGAAAACGTTTTTATAGCATAAACGTATGTTGACAAATAACTACCGATATTTTTGCCCGTAACAAAAAAATGCACGTAAATCACAGCAAAACAAACTAAGGGCACTAGAACTCACTTAAACAGGTCGTTAAGTTGTTCAGAACAAGTCCGTTGTACTTAAAGCATTATCTCACATGGGACATTGTAATTCTGCGTCTTGTGCCTTGCCGTTATTTATTTCATTCGCTAACAGTACAGCTAGCGCGTACAGGACTTACGGTGCTCAATGGATGCTAACCGCTAGCTGCTAGCCAGTCAGGCATAGTAAAGCAGCGCGCCGGGCTAACCGCCCTTTCAGAGTGCAGCAAAGCGCAGGAGTTTCCACCCAACGGCTTTACCTGACCGCCATAATACTCTGATGTCCAGTAAAGGTTTAATTAACGTAACCAGTCATACGGCTAGCGGCAGAAGCCGTAAAGCGTCCCAGAGTTCGGCCTTGTGCTCAGCAAGCGTGTGATGTAGCTTGTTAGCTTAGCATGTGACCCAGCGAACCAAAAAAAAGAAAAACACATTACGTCTCACCGAAGCCTTTGATCAGTTCCGTGAAGACCCCCGGGTCGCTCTCCATCAGACACCATTCGCCTGCGCTCCCCGTCATCCTAAAGGCTTATGTCTTAAATGTAGATAAAATGTAAAGGACCGCAGCAGTTAAAACGGCGCCACCGAGGTTCGCTAAGCTCCGCGCGGCCACTAGATGCTCCTATTTCCCGGCAGCCTTTTGAACATGACCTACAGGGCACTTTGATTTCTATGGTAACGGCAAAGACGCGCAGCGGCAAAGACCCAAACCTGACAAAGCCATTAACCGAACAAGACCCACAAATGTTTGGTGAGGGGCGTGGACTTACTTTATGGCTTATCAAAAGTCATATTAAGAAAATATATTATAACATATTTATGTGGAAAAATATTTAGAAACACAATTAAAATCTTACAGCCTGCTTCCATGCATTCAATTCTTTACTAACTGGAAAATATTTCCAAAAGAGCTGTTCATGAGGAAGTGCAACAAACACATTAGAAGTAAGAGAAAGAACTTCTATGAGTAGTATGTGAGTGTCCCCTATGATGGATTGGCACCTCATTCTGGTTTGTTCCCTGCCTTGTGCCCGTAGTCTCAGTAATCGGCTTCAAACTCCCCGTGACCCTGAAGAGGAAAAGCTGTTTCAGAAAATGGATGGATTTGTCAACTTCTATGAGGCAAAAAGATTAAGATAACCTCTTAAAGTAGAGTGTTTAAATATGTAAAGCGACCGCGGTTGTAAAGCGGGGACGCAAGATACAGGACAACACGGCCGCCGATTATCTGCTGAGATTTTAGATTAGCAGCGGCGATATTGATGACTCATACAAGTCTCAGGCGAGTTTGTAAGTCAGTGCCAGACAGTCCATCTGTCTATAAATCAGAAATGTTTATTTACATACTACACCTCTTGAACCTAACACATTTCAAGACCTCATATTCCAGGTATTTGTGCCATTGACATAGGCAATGAATATCACTACAAATCAATGTGTCGTTGTAATATAACTTTCATAAATAGTAAAAATTATGAGGATTTTGCACGAGGAGGGACTAAGATTGCTTAAATATCATTATTTGACTAAAACGTACTTCAATTTTATGTATGGAAATGCAGCTAGGAATTGATTCCTTTATACCAGGAATCCCAAATGTATAAAACACATACTTGACTTAATTATTAGTTCAGAAAGTGTATTTAAACAGCTGTATGAGAAACCTTACAGGAATTAAAATGCACTGTAGAAGATGGATGAATGTTTTCCAGACAAAAAAAATGTGGGAGATCATTTCAAGAGTATAGGTGATAATATGGATATGTTTTTTTTTGTTTGCTACGTAATCTCTGTTGACAGGCAAATTGAAATAAATTATTTCTAATTAAGCTGCTATTTAAATATTTATATATACGTATTATATTTAATTTCAGTTATTTTTTAATTGAGTATGACCGCATTCATCACAACCGTTAACACTTGGCTTGAGGTACTGATTGTATATAGCACTTCATAGTAGCCAAACAGGAATAACATGATTTGCAGTGATTTTAAACATTTTTTTTTATCCAAAACGTACAAACATTCTACATCTATCTGAACACATTTATGAACCTGGAAGAACACATCTGAAATGCATGAACATTTGAGGAATGAGGAATGTGCAGAATGCCCGGCTCGCTCGTGCATGGCCGGCATCCGCGCGGTCATCCCCTCCCAGCCGCCACTGCGGCTCCTTTTAGAGATTCCCTGAAAGGGGGGCCTTCTGTCGTCTGAAGATCGGGGTGCTCCGCTCAGGTACCCTGCGAGCTGTCACTCCGACGGGGATCTGGTGAATAGGAACTGCTGGCGGCGTTTTTGGTCTTAGCTGGCCCAAGCGTCCATCGCCATCAAGGCCGCCGCAAGTATTCATTCTCCGGTACAGTTTGTTTTCTCATAAGCGAGCATCGCGACGAAATGTCCGTCTGTAATCGTTAGCTGGTGTGCTTGCAATCAGCGTTGTTATAGCACTCATATAAACTTGATGGTTGTGCATTGATAAACACAATCGAATTGGTTTCTACGAGGCTGGGTGGGGGGCATCTTTTTGGCATCTCCGGGTCTGGATGTTCACCCATCGTTAACCGGCTTGCTAGTCAGACTTATAGGCTATAAGTTATAGCTACATAAAAACACCAGCCGGACTCCCACCGTATGCTACAACAAAAATAGCCAGTTTGTCAGCGATCGCTATCTATACTGGCAAGTAAAAAATTACTGGATGTTTTTCTGCATTTATTTCTATACAGGTAAGTACTTGGAAAGCGAAAAAACGATACTCGTTAGAATGATCTATAGCGTTCACGATAAGCGTGTTTATTTGTGTAGATGTGCAAGCCTTTCCTGAGAGATCTAATAAATTTATACGAAATGTTATCAACCAGTTTTATTTTAATACAACGCCTGCACAGTCACGGGATACTTTCGTGTTACTGTAGACAACTGGGTTTTTTTCTAATTGGGGGGGAAATGTTTTCCCCTTGTACAGATCATTCACTGCGATGGGGAGTCCTCCCGTGTTGACAGTAGCCTACGTTATTATCAGGCTCTCTGAATTTGACAGCGGTCAACTATTCTTATCTAGAGGATCACGTTAAGTAAAAAATGTTTTTCGATACTTTCGATATGTTACCCCTTACCAGCAACCCATGCATACATTGCTCATACATACTACTGGTATGCATTATGCTAATAAATTGCTTATCATTGATATGCATTATGCATAATTATTAATGGTATCAGCGCTATGCATTCACAATTCGGTGCAGACACACCATGGTAAATGTCACGTTATGCCTACATCGCACTAATGCAGCATACTTTTCTCGATTTCTTTCTAGCACCGAAGGCTGTGCAGCAATGGATCCAGCGGAAGGCGCCCTGCCAGTGACCGATATGACCCGGCTGCGGCGCTTCCTGTGCTTCGGGTCGGAGGGCAGCATGTACGGCGCCAAAGGCCAGCAGCCGGGCATGGAGAACACGCAGATGCTGATGCGGCTTATAGAGGACGGCCGAGGGTGCGAGGTGGTGGAGGAGATCCGCAGATTCAGTCGGGACGGCGCATCGGTCGCTCCCAGCCCGGCGCTGTTCGCCCTGGCTGTCTGCTCGCAGCAACCGGACGCTAAAACCAAGCAGGCGGCCTACGAGGCGCTCGGGGACGTGTGCCGCTTCCCGACGCACCTCTTCTCCTTCGTGCAGTTCAAGAAGGAGCTGAAGGAGGGTATGCATTGCGGCATATGGGGCCGAGCGCTGCGGAAAGCCGTCTCGGACTGGTACAACCAGAAGGAGGCCATGAGCCTGGCGGTCGCGGTCACCAAGTGCAAGCAGAGGACCGGCTGGTCGCATAAGGACTTACTGAGACTGTCACACATGAAGCCGGCAAACCCAGGTGGGAATAAATGCAGACGAATAAATATACAACAATTCTGCACAATATTGCAACTTATAATAGTTATTTTTATTGTCATTATACAGTGCTGTTTGAAAACATCTGAATTCACTCTATGAGGCATAAACGCATTCTCATATATTTTCATACTGGCAGTATATGCAGGGTTTGTTGTGTTCATTCTTTAAATACTACAGGGGTTCTTAAGCATGATTCCCATTTTATGACAGTTTATTTTCAGATGAACTTTTAATTAGCTCCGATGTTGTTGATTAAACCATTAACAGGATGCAAATTAATTAAAACTGGGGGCCGGCGTAACTGGAATCGCAGTTAATTGCAAGTGAATGTGTAGTAGTCAGGGATTGCATATATAACAGAAAACGAATCCCTTTGTGCTAATAGAATGAGAGAAGTTATTAAACTGAATCAAACAAAACACATACCAATTGCACATTCAATATGCAGTCCTGATAATTACTCTTGGCAGCAATATTATTTTAACTTTAGGGTACATCTGTAAAAGGTTACTTATTTTTCCATTTTAGTATATCTTTTATAAAACCTGGAGTTTATTATTATTTATACAATTATTATTATTATTATTATTATTATACCATTTATTTTTCTGTTAATAATAATGCAGTTAATTCAATTAATGTTAATTGATAAAGATCTTTTAAGTGAAATACTCCACTGACTACGATTTGCTATTGTCATGGACGAAAACCCCTGTTGTAATATATGACCATTGAAATTCATGGGTAACCAGGTTTAGTGCTGATTGAAAGTCAAAGAACAAATGATAATCTATGCAAAACTGGTTATTGTAACTGTAATAACTATCTGCTGTGTCTTTAGGGATTTCCTTGATCAATAAATACATTACAAAAGGATGGAAGGAGGTCCAGGCGACATACAGCAACACAGAGAACTCTGATGAGGTAGCTGAAGTTCTGAGGTATCTTGAAGCCGTTGAGAAGGTGAAGCACTCCACAGATGAGGTGGAGGTGATTCATTTAATAGAGGAGCATGGACTAGAGCCAGAACAGTTACTGACAAGCCACCTGAAGTCAAGAGAGGTCAGCAACACCCTTTTCTGTCCTCTAATTCTCTATAATTATGGTTTTGCAATTTTACGATTTTGTGTTTTTGGAATATTTGTAGGTAGTTTCGGTAAGTGGTTTTAATAGGCAAATATCTGGGCCATTCTGTACAGTTTCTGCGGTGTTCTTATGCACTAGGTGTGCAAGGCGTTACTTACGGAAATGCCCGTGGTCACTTTGCTGAGTCGCCTGGGGAAGATGACCGCTGATAACGTGCTGCAGCAGCGTAGTTCGGAGGCCGCCCTGGTCTGCGAGAGACTGCAGTCTGAATCCGCGCTGAGGAAGGTCAGCGCCTGACACAGCGCGTGTGGCTGGGAATCCTTTGGATTTCGGCTGCCAGTTGTCTTGATGTTTGCTCTTTCGTTGTTTTCAGGATAAAATCCACCCCTTTCATATTTTGCTGGCTCAGCAAGCGTATAAGAAAGGCCAAGCAAACAGAGGGAAAGTGAATTGGGAGACTGACCACGCGGTTCTCCAGGCCCTGGATGCCGCCTTTAACAAGTGTCTCATGGTAGGAAGTAGCAACAAACACAAAGAGACCTTCGTATAATTAGTGTATATCAAGTGATCCTGGCTCACGCTGTGTACTAACTCAATACTATTAAATCTTTTTCTGCTTCCCACTCCCCAGAATGTTGAACCCACTGGGAAGCGTTTTGTGGTGGCTGTGGACGTCTGTATGTCCGCAAACAGCACGGTTCTGGGAAGTTACCTCAATGCGACCACAGCAGCTGCAGCCATAACTATGGTAAGACCGTTCTTCCGTAGCTCAGCCCGAGCTAATAGCAACAGCTGCAAAAAATGGGGTGGAGGGGGGGGGGGGCTGCATATAGCATCAAAAGTTACAGTGAAGACCCTTTAATTATGAATCTCAACTCTCAAGAGCCGTGTTTCCCAATCCAGTCCTCTGGGATCCACAGACAGTCCGTGTTTTTTATTCCTTTCTAACTTGTGGTAGGGAGCTGGGAGGAAGCCAAAATGTGGACTGTCTGGCAGGGATCTATGAGGGAGCAAAAATGTGGACTGTCTGGCAGGGATCTATGAGGGAGCAAAAATGTGGACTGTCTGGCNGTGGACTGTCTGGCAGGGATCTATGAGGGAGCAAAAATGTGGACTGTCTGGCAGGGATCTATGAGGGAGCAAAAATGTGGACTGTCTGGCAGGGAGCTGGGAGGGAGCAAAAATGTGGACTGTCTGGCAGGGAGCTGGGAGGGAGCAAAAATGTGGACTGTCTGACAGGGATCTATGAGGGAGCAAAAACGTGGACTGTCTGACAGGGATCTATGAGGGAGCAAAAACGTTGACCGCGTGTGGGTCCCTGAGGACCGGGTTGGGAAACACTGCTCTTGAGAGTTGAGATTATGTGCTAGGAGTTATAGTTACGTAGCTAGTAATACAGCTTGGATAACTACTTCAGATTCCCTGTACTCTGAGGTAATGCATTTCCATGACAGTCCGTATATTAACAGCGAGTTTCTGTTGATTTTAAGGGTATTGCACGAGCAGAAACGGAGCCCCAGATTTTGGTGTTCTCCGAAGGAGCCGTCATTCCCAGCACTGTCACTACTGACATGTCTCTCGCACAAGTAACGGCAGAGCTAGCGAAGGTGGGAAAAAGTCACAATTTTTCAAAGTAGCAGCTGAATGCAAAGTATGGGATTAGGCATTTGGTGTTGAATTGCTTGTCAAGTTGTAGTGTTCCCTTCTGTAGAGTACTGGTGGTGCCACAAACTGTGTCCTCCCCATCCTCTGGGCCACGGAGAACCAGAAACCAACAGACGTCTTCATCATCCTGACCAGCAACACCACCAGCTTGGGGAGGATTCACACAGCAGAAGCACTCAGGATGCACAGATATGTGAGTATCAATGCCACAATCATTACACCGCAATTCAGTTTGTCACGATTTTCCATGAATTTCAGCGGTTCCAGCTCGCTTCGGTTTTCCACTGCGGAAGGGTTGGCTCTATACAGGCGTTGCTGGGCTTGCAGTGTGACAGTGACCTAAAACCAAAGGGATGCTTATGTACTGTTCACACAGTGTACATCTTGATTTACTGTATGTTAATTCTTGTGTTTTGAGAATCGCCAACTTATTTTAACATCAAACGCTACTAGAATTAGCATTTGCACCGGTACATATCAATAGTACTGATATGAATAATATATAGAATATATTATTGTATTTCTATGCATTTTGACCAATCAGATGGCGGTAACACAAATGGCTTGGTTTCGTCATACTTTTAGCGCTGCTACTATGCAGGCACAGCTCGGGTACGACTCAGATCATTTACAATGGAAAACTGCCAGTTTGCGGTACAGCTCGGGTTCGACTCGGTTCTTGGTAGCAGTGGAAAAGTGTCTAGCAGTGGAAAAGTTGTATTGCAGTTCTATTTAACACTGGCAGTAAAATCAAATGTTTCATTTTACATTTTTTTCAACATTGGGTGATTAAAACTATGCTGTTTTTGTAGCCTGTGCTAAGTGCACCGCAATGCAAACAGACTGTCAAGTGTCTGAAATGTTGAAGTACAGGCCAAAAGTTTCGTTTTGTATGTTTTTTTTCCACATTCTCCGTATTGAAAACGGAATTGTGCACTTTATGTACGCACAAAGTAATGCACAGTTTATGCAACTGGGAGTTGAAGTGTGCAACAACTTTATTCAAGATACCGACATCCTTCGCTGTTAATGCCTGTTAATTAAAACAAGCCAAATTTAATTTTTAATAGTTCCTTTATTTCAGTATTTAAGTGTTAACAATTAGGATACAGTGGTAATATTGTGATGCATTGAATGGTGGTACTGGTATCATGACGAGTATGGTATCATGACGAGTATGGTATCATGAGCTAGTTGGCAGTACCCAGCCCTAGTGTGTTTGTTCCATTTATGCGCGATCAAGCAGCAAAGGCAGGTTGTAGCTTGACAGGTAGAAATCTGACGTTTCTGGTTCAGATTCCAGACAGACCTGATTCGCTGTAATGCTGTAATTACTGAGTTTTGCTAATTATTTACAAACCAAGGTGGTTGTTTCCTTTGTACCATTTACAATGAACTTATGTTGGTGTCATTATGAATAATTGTGCTACTAATGTGTTTATATTTGTTTATTTTGTTTTGCAGAGAATGGGATTGTCCTCCAAATTAATAGTGTGTGGCTTGACCTCAAACGGGTTCTCCATCGCGGATCCAGAGGACCGGGGCATGATTGATATTTGTGGCTTTGACTCTGGAGCCCTACATGTCATCCAGAATTTCATTTTGGATCAAATTTGAGAGGAACGCGTTTGGGGAAGACACGGACAAAACATTTTTAAATATTAACAATTAGGAATGAAAGCAGTCATGGGTCCAGTGGAACATTAAATCATAAAAGAACACAGAAATTACATTCTTAAGGGGTACATCTGTTTTTTTTTTCTCCCTAGTTTAGTCATTGGAAAGTAATTCTGATATGAAAAATTTGTCCAGCAGGCTGGATGATTCTATATTGGAATAGCAGACAATGTCACACATTGCTGCAGAACCTTTTTGGTATGAAATTGCATTTTAATATTAAATTAAAAAGGCCTAGCAATATTCTAAGTTCTAATATAATTTCAACAGTATGGTGTAATGAACAAAATGATGTGGACAGAAGATTCTTCTCTATAAGCAGGAGTTTCTTAGCAAAAGCTTACAGTAAGTGTGCTGCTAGCAACTAACACTTGATAGAAAAGTTTTCTGTGACAGATCACACTTATGCAACACACAAAATGTTTTTTTTTCCTTTAGGTTCACGCTAAGCATGTATATTGTGATGTACATGGTACATAATTCAAGATTCAAGATTCAAAGCGTTTATTATCATATGTACAGAAAAGTAGTATTTCTCAGTACAATGAAATTCTTACTTTGCTGTCCACTCACAAATGCCAGGTTAAATTAAATTACAAGTACAAAAGAGCATACTTGAGAAAAATAGTGCAAAAAGAGCTTAAAGTGCAAAGTGACCTGTTGTGCAAATGAGGTAGGTCATGATATGCAAAGTGATCTGTTATGTAAATGAGGTAGGTCGTCTATTTAGGAGTCTGATTGTAGTGGGGAAGAAAGAGTTGTTTAGCCGGGATGTTCTAGATTTCACACTTCTGAACCTTCGTCCCGAGGGCAGGAGTATGAACAGTCCGTGTTGGGGGTGTGTCGGGTCTTTGAGGATGGTAATGGCAGTGCTTCACAACCCAGTCTGTGGGGACCCCCAGACTGTCCTACCAGGAGCTGGGAGGGAGCAAAAATGTGGACTGTCTGACAGGGAGATGGGAGGGAGCAAAAATGTGGACTGTCTGGCAGGGAGCTGAGAGGGAGCAAAAATGTGGACTGTCTGGGGGGTCCCTGAGGACTGAGCTGAGAAACACCACATTATGGGACAGTTTTACCTCTTCCTTGCTCCATCCATTCAAATGAAAGAAGTGGGTACAACTATTTTAATAGATAATGGGTAGAGGTCAATTGTAGCATTTTTTATCATTTTACCTTGGTTATATAGTAGGACTGATGTCTGGATTTGAAGCATCAATTCTTTTTTAATTCCTCCTTAATTTGTTTAGTCTTTATCACCATTTATGTGATGCCAACTGTGCATTACCATGGACGTTTTCCAGTGCTGTATCATGCTGGCAAAGATGAATCCACCTTTTTATTGTTTGGCAAAGTTACACCTGCTAGGTAATAGAAAAAAATATTGCCAGAAGTCATAACACTTAAGCATCAGAAAGTTAGATACGCAGAACACTAATTCAAACTAACGTAACAACGTTTCACTACTTTTTAGATGTGAAGGCTGCAGCTGAATGTACCTTTTATATTATTTGTGTAACACTTTAGATCTGTATTTTAAATGAATTTGAAATACTTTATACTTCAAACAAGAATGAAATAAACTAAAAAATGACAGCGGGAGTGATTTCTTTCTGAGAACGATAAGCGGATGTTGAAGCAGGTGCCTAACAAGCAGCTACCAAGAGTCGCTCCCCACTGGTTGAGTTTTACCAAAAACTTAAACTCTTGGTTACCAGTCTTCGATTTAATCGGGATTTCAAAATCACACTGAAATTAACCGCTTTGACATTGTGGTATTTATAAAACCCCAACCATAACTGAAAAAAACATGCCTTTCATCACTGGGATCTGGATTCAGAATCACTGTGAAATTGCCCTGAGATGCATTTGAACATTTCCAATGAAATAGTGACACAGTGGGTGAGTGGTGGCCTAGTACCTTTCTGGTTATTCATTGAAATACAGCCACAGCTGTCTGTGACACACGCATCTTCTACCTGTGTCTTTGAGGCTTTCTTCTAGGTCAGTGTTTACCAACCCGGTCCTTGAGGACCTCCTTATCCTCCTGAGACCCGACCTATTCATTTATGTCCATTGTAGTGGACATTGTATTTTTGCATTTATTTTTTCACTGATGTTGGGAAACGTATTTATTCTTGTTTTGCACTAAAGAGGACATGCTGTGAAATTAAAATAAGAATAAATTTGAAAAAATCTGAATTGTAAGATGTCTTATTTCCTCCAAAGACGAATAACCTACAATTGAAGGACACTTTTTTTCCTTGGGTCTCAGGAGGTTAAGGTTCCTGTTTTTGCTCCCTCTTAGCTCCCTGCCAAACACATTTTTGCTTCTCCCGGGGGCGGGGAAGGAACAAAAACATGAACTGTCTGGGGGCCCCGAGCATCGGGCTGGGAAACACCACTCCAGGTAATCGAGTTTCCATGGTACAAAGACCGGCTGAGTGGATAAGCTTCAGACTGTGAATTGCAGTTTGCGTGGTTATTTTTGTGTGTACCGTATGATTGACTAGCATCCGTTCATCTTTTAACCTGTAAATCCCTGGATCACCACGACTCAAACTTGATAGGTCATCTGAAGGTAAACAGAGAGGTGTTTATGGACCTGAACCTGTAATAAAATGGTCTTCAGAATGGTGTGTTGCTTTCTTTAAAACCATGCCAAATATGAAACCAGAGGAAAAAAATCATGAAACATGCAAAAAATGAAGAATAGTGAAAAGACATTGGTATGAGTAATTGGTATGAGGCTTTGTGCTTAAGAATGTTTGTGCATTTTAATACATAACCTGAAGGGTTCTCATTAAGGCTGGTTCGCTTACAAAAGTGATGATAAATTATACAGCTTCACTATGAATCTAGGATCACAAAAGGGCTGATGTGAAATAGTAAAAACTATAATTCACTTTAGTTATAATAATTTGGCCACCTAATAAATGCCCTATGTTTGTCCCACACCCACATGTGCGTGTGTGTGTCCTCTTCTACCTGGATTTTCTACATACATATACATTACATGATTAAAAATGGCAGTTTTGAAGTTGCTGCGCTAATCAAAGCTGTTCTTTTACAAGAAGTTAGGGATAGCTCCTGCGCAACATGGCTGCTCTGTCAAGCGACAGAAACTGGAATGTACTCGTTGCAGCTAATAAAATATCGCCTGCTGGTATAAAGGAGTACCTGCTCTTTTATTCTATTTCTATGTCAACAACTGTAGAGTGGATCCAAAACAGTCTGTTCTCAGCATGCCTGTAAAATAGATTATACGTGTTTTTCTTTTAGACGTTCAAGTAAAGGACATAAAGAAACAAGTATATTTTCTATATGTGTATATTTGTCTTAAATAAGTGTGTCATAGCTTTTATGTTATTTTGGTGAACCATTATAATAGCATGCAGAGTGGCGAAATAATTTAAATCAGGCGCGTTACGAGACTACTCACAATTGAAAACCGCTTGGGGGCCTAACAAATTCACTCTGTGAAGACAAGTGAAGATGGCGGACGTACTGAGTGTTCTTCGTCAGTACAATATCCAGAAAAAAGAAATCGTCGCAAAGGGAGATGAAGTTATATTTGGAGAGTTTTCTTGGCCGAAAAATGTCAAAACCAACTACGTTATTTGGGGGTATGTCGACGAACCGTTCGAGTCTTTAAGATGCTAGCTCCTTCCATGTTTGCTGCCTACAGTTCTTGGTAAACTTTTCCTGCGTTCAAGGCAGCATGTTCGATAAAACAAGCTATTATGACACAGTTATGGAGTTAGCCTGGTGTATATAAGCGCGTATATTACTGGTACTGCTTCGTTTTTTTTACATATGTGTATAGTTAGTCTCCTGTAGCTGCTTAAATATTAGCCATGCAAGTAGGTTGTTTTATTTATATTTTTAGCGTAGCCGCTGTAGCTTCTTACCTGGTCTGTCAAGTTCCGCTACACAGACACACAGTCCTACCTGTCAGGTAAACCCTTAGACTGTGTACTTTATATAAACTCGATTTTCTGCTACGGAAAGTGCAAGATTAACCTTTGGAAATCGGGACTGAATGTGACATTACTTTAGTGAAGTTGCTACCATGCTCGTTAGGTGAATTCTCTTGACTAGGTCACTACCTCGCATCTTTGAAGTCACCAAGGTACCGGAATGGTACCGATAGATCCAAAATCAGTCATTCATTATTGGTGTTTCGAGAGAAAATTGATTTACTGAGTAATTTCGTGAATAGATGTTGGTTTCCATGTGTCAGTCCGCACCTGCTTCCTCAGCTCACAAACTACATTCGCAAGTAGCTGTTTACAGCACTGTTACACCCATGTTCTTTAAAAGATACTGCGTCGGGACGTGTTTTCCTTTTGTGTGTTTAATGTGTATGATTAATTGCAGAACGGGGAAGGAGGGCCAACCCAAGGAATACTATACTTTGGATTCCATTCTGTTCCTGCTTAACAATGTGCACCTTCCTCATCCATCTTACGTGCGAAGGGCTGCAGTAAGTGTTTTTTTTTTGTGCCGGTCTTAGATTGCTAGCATCGCAAGTTACTTTCGCTAAAATGCTGTTGCTATTTTTGTAGTATTTTTCTTTTATGATTGTCATAACATGCTATTGGTTTTGCCATTTTACTGGAATTTGCTACTCTTAATTAAAACATATATTGACTTCATAGACAGAAAACATTCCTGTTGTAACAAGACCTGACCGAAAGGATTTGCTGTCTTATCTCAATGGGGAAAGTTGTAAGTAAAAATTCATAATAGGTGTGTGTGCAGACATGCACGTGCATAATGTGAGCCTTAGCGATAAAAATGTCGTTTCCGAAATGTGAGCCTTAGCGATAAAAATGTCGTTTCCGAAATGTGAGCCTTGGAACTGCGCGTTGTTTATATTTAACCTTTTCTTTACAGCCACCTCAGCAAGTATTGACAGAAGTGCACCAATCGAAATTGGATTACAGAGACCGACACAAGGTTTGTGAACTGTCAGTTCTAATTTGCAGTTCTGTTAACTTTATCAAATATTATACACAGCGCTTCCAGTTTGTATGTTTTTCCTTTAGGTTGAATCGAATCGTGCATTTACCTCTGCTAGCCTGATGTGTCTCTACATTCCCTGAATGTTCTTAATGTTGCACCTCTTGTCATTGAATTGTTTTATTTGTAGCTTGGCGTTCATTGGCAGTTTATTGAAAGCATCTACTAAATAAAAGCAAATGTAAATTTAAATCAGCGCTGCACAATATATCATTTCAGCATCATTATTGCCGTGTGCACATGTACGATCACGTTGTATTTCACTGCACTGCTTTTTCTCTGTTGAAATAACTCACGGCAACACCATGAACTATTTTACACACACTGCTGGTAGATCATAAGTTCTATTTGGCTGTAGGTTAATTTAGGTGATTTAATTAGTTGGAATGAAACTGTGTAAGCCAGCGTCAGTGGATGTGGTTTGTACCTGTGATGACAGTTTTGTCTTCTCTTGAACAGTTAAGAGAGCAGCAGATGAAGTCTCTTCAGAAGCAAAGAAACCAAGGGTAGAGGTAAGGAGTATTGTTATGCAATACTGAAGGTTATGGAGTATTGTTATGCAATACTGCAGGTTATGGAGTATTGTTTTGTGTGTGGAATGGTAAGTGCAAGGCTTTATCATTTAAAGACAAACTAGTGACTGGGAAACAAACAGACAAGCAACAGCAATGACTGTACAATTCACCATGCGTCTGGCGCATGTGCAAAATATTGTCATATTGTCCTGCATTAAATGTGAGTTTGGTTCCTCTTTCAGGATGAAGAACGGGTGCGTTTGGATAAGGAGCGTTTAGCCGCCCGCCTCGAGGGACACAAGGAAGGCATCGTGCAGACCGATCAGATCAGGTATGAATCTTATCATGCAGCTTGTATTTGTAAGCTTTTGTATGATGAACTTCAGGTTGCTTGTTTGTCTATAGGAACGAGCAGGAACTTCTTAGTACTTGCTTGCTAATGCTTGAAATGTGCACAGAAAATTATTGAATGCATCTGAGCCATTAACGATCCTTTCTGTTACCAATAATATAAACAGAACTTGAAGATTTAATGTAATGATGTAACCAGATGGCAATGCTTTCAACCTGTCATGGACAATTGAAGAATCATTTCCTCCTTGTCTAGTTTACCGACTTTGATGCTCAACACACCAGGCTCTGCCAAATTGGAGTTATAGCAGCTCAAATGGCTATTTTTAATTAAGCAGTTGAAGTGGTTTGCGTCGCATGCTTACGTCATGATATTTAAGCGCATGTGTAAGCAGTAAGACGAGGTCCATTTAAAACGGCAATAAATCCATGTTTTGTAAAACATATTTTGTCTTACATTTAGAATCAGAACCTCACATGCAGCATATTTGTTTCTGGATGTCAATGGTTCTCATTCACTAGAAATGTACACAGTTAAGACAATGATCGCATACAGTTCAGATGATGTATCTGTCCATGTGTAGTTGAATATGTAGAAAAATGCCAGAGGGCATGTCTGTGTAAGGAATGCTTTAATAAATGCCGCATGTAGACATTACAATAAGTACAGTGAGTTACATTTTGAAATTGCCCCTGTGAATTCCTTTTTGTAATACTATTGTGCAAATTTGGCTTTTTCACTTCTTATGGAGGTTTTAGAGTTGCCAAAAATCATTGAGGAAATTGTATATCCTGCAGCCACCATGCAAAGGCTGACTGGGGCAGTTCAGAAAAACGGCCATCTCTTTCCCTGATGAACGTTAAGGTCTTGGTGCTGAAAGGTCCTGACAGTAGTGGGTTTTCTTCCTTATATCTCAACACTTTTTCAATGGCCGTTTTTAGGTCCCTGTCGGACACGATGTCGGTGGAAAAAATTGCCGCCATCAAGGCAAAGATTATGGCGAAGAAACGGTCAACGATCAAGACCGACTTTGACGACGACATCGCCCAGCAGAGGAGCTTTGTCGACGCAGAGGTGGATGTCACCAGGGACATCGTCAGCAGGGAGAGAGTATGGAGGACGAGGACCACGATTCTACAGAGCAGCGGAAAGGTAGGAGGAAGAAACGGTTGGACCTCCTTTCCTTGTATCAGAACTTTGTCATCGGTGTCGCAATTTGTTTCACTTTTGAATTCTGAACGTACATCAAAATTCTGAATCTGAATCCTACAACATTTAGCCCAGAGACATCAGAAGTGTTTTGCACTGATTGTCAAATGATTGTGTGTGGGCATGCAAGACTTTCCTAAAATTCCTTTATAGGCTTTCATTTTCAAGAAGTATGAGCTCCAGCTCATTTACATTTGTTCTCAAACACAAAGTTTTTCTTTATATTTTGGCTTGGATGTGTGTTTCCGGACTTGCAGTCTATGCAGTAGAGTGCCGGTGTCCTGCTGTGAACTTACTAATAAAGAAAAATCGATAAAGGTTTAATCCAGCTTGCCCAATGATTTTTAGAATACAGACCCAATGGTTTGAAAAATCCCAAATTACAATTTTAAAAGTTAAAGAAAAAATAGCCCTGTTATTCTTATGTTTTTGCACTTGGGGAGACTAGAGTGTTGAAGGAGTATAATTGGCAGCACTATCAGACTGACCAGGCTGAAAAATACAATGTCTGGTGGGGGCAGCAAAATAAATGACTTCCTGGCAAGACCAAGAAAACAGGCAGTATGTTTTTAATCGTAGCCGGGAGCCCAGTGATGTCGCTGTGCATGCCAGCTGCCATAGGCCGTGCTCTGATGCCGAGTGTGTGGAGACTCACAGGCGCAGAGCTGCAGAAATCCTATGCTCCCTCCAGCAATTCTGAGGAGAAATGCAGTTGCTGGCAGAATTTTATGCATTTCCTTTACTCAGCACTCGGTGAATGAACTGGAAAGTGATTGATTATTATGGAAGCTATACCTTAGTGATAGATAACAGGCAGGTGAAGTTGTCTTTGCTTAAAGTGTCACAATTTGTTACCAGATATTAATGCATTATATCACTTACCACATATTGGTTAGAACTTGTAGTCTTTTGTAATTTTTTGTGAGGGTAGCTTGTATGGAGGCAACCAGTAAACTAACCCAGGAATGAAAAAAAATATCTAAGGTGGGTCCCCTCTGGAGTCAAAACAGTTGATGTGATTTCCCCAACTGATTTTTGTTCCCAAGCCAAATGTTAAAGGTGATAATGTTTAATTATTGGCCTGTTATGCATAGATTGGCCCATGTGGGATTGAGTCCACTGTGTCCCATTAACTGAAGTGGATTTGAAAGCCCTGCTGTAAAGGATCTTGTTCTTTGTCATCGAAAGTCCCATCGTTTGCAATTTTATGCACATTATGCAACAGCAGTAAGTTAAAAGCTTCTCTACTTTGACATGTCTTGAATGTAAAGCGCTGAAATATGCACTTAATGTGTCTGAACATGTATTTGTTTGCTGTGCGCACCAAGACCTTGAGTGCTAAATGTATCTTTTAAAGTATAATTCCGCTTAGGTAGCAGTGAGAGGCACAGAAAAGGATACGATTTGTTAAAGAGGAGGAATGGGATTGTCATGTGGAGGAGCTGCTTATCTGTTTTGTTCTTGGTGTGTTGCTGTGTTCAGACTGGGTTCTCTGATAGGACGACCTGCATTTTGTCCAAGACTCGTGTTTTATGATGGTCTACAGTGCAGGGGATGCTTAACCATAATTCCTATTGATCAAGAATGGTGGCTCAGGCTTCCCTCTTGGTTAGGGGCTCTTGTGATTGCTCTCCACAGACACTTTGGCCGTATCAGAATCGCCGCTTGTAAATTTTTCAATCTGACCAGTGTACCCCACTTGGTTACTAGCTTGGTTGTTGAGTGCAATCATGGGCTGCTTGACTTGCTCTCAAATGTATTATCTCTGAATCCCTGACATGCCTGCAGAACTGGAGGTAGACTACTTAACAGAATGCAGTAACTGAATATTAGCAAGTTTAAATTTTTGCTAGTTCAGTCTCTTCCCCTCCCTGTTCATGGGGATGCCTTCTACGTGGCCTGTCGGACTTGATTTATTTTCAGTTTTTCTTTTTAGCACCAATGACATCGATTTGTGTTCTCGTGGACTACAGCTCTCCCGAGTGTGAACGTCTGACTGATAGCTCATAATTATAACAGAGTGATTGAGGAACATACCCCTTTATGAAAATGGGCAGTCTATCTTCAAAGCCTCATCATAACCGAAAATATAGCACATTTATGGTAAGGAAATGGACTGAATGAGACAGAATAAAGTTTGAGTGTTGGAGCTAAAGGCGTTACCATTGCCCTTCTATCACAAAGGCTGCAGATCTGTCAGGGGCTTGAGGGGCTTGTTTAATGGTGACATTTTCAGTATTATGCACTTGAGGCTTTTAGGAGGCTATCAGTGTTTGGTTTATGCTGAAAGTATTTCTGACAAAACTAGATTGACTTGAATTTAATCCTAGCTGGTACACCAGTGTGTTCTGTACTTAAAATCCCCCTCCACCGCCCCCC